CGCTGCTAAACAAGATGTGGCTAGCAGCCCTGTTTGTGATATAACATCTCCAAAAGAGATTCAAGGGTATGCGAAGTATTCACGTTATTTCGTTTAAGCTGATGAAAGACTAGTAGTTTAATCTCCCCTCAATCATATGATTATGTCTCGTGTTTCCATTAAATTCCATTCCTCTCCAAACAGGCCCTCTCATCCAGAGTGGACTCAAGCTTCTACCTCCACTATGTCTCATCAGCCCACAAGCCCAGGGTTCAAATTTCGCTGGGGGCGAGTTCGAAATTGCCTTCAACCCTGGATGAAATTACCTTTTGGGCAGCAAGGCTATATGGAATTCGATGGAAGCACAAAGCATATTCATATCATCGTGGGAAAATTCAATTACCAGTCTTTCACAAGATTAATTGAAAAAGAGTAAATACGTCTAGTATATATGATCTACTGGTAGACTAGAAGAGCTAAGTATAAATCGAATATAAGATTTAGGGGTGTTGGCTTACAGAAAATTTATCACAGAAAACCTGATAGCTCAGCTCTCTGTGCATAGCTGTCGGTAACAGATGCGTCTAACCATGACTACCAATCATTACAGCTACTGTGTGAACTAATCGGTAGTTAAATTAATGAATCTAAAGTGAAAATTGGCTAAAATCATCAAGCAGAGTTGTTGAGAGATGATAATTTTGAAGATCGATTTATGCACACCTTCAGACAGGATGTCGTAGCTTGCCTCAGGTTGCATAAAGGCACTTCTTCTGCCATTGGATGGAATTTATCCAGGCCAGAAGATTCAAGACTGGGGTTAATTTTTGATGGAAATTCTCCACCATACAAAGCCCAAGGCCGACTCCTGTTTTGACTAAAGACTCTGGCTATCTTCCTCCATTTGACTGGCCCAGCTGCTATTCATGTCGTGCACTGGTTGAAGGTGAAAGGACCGAAATTTGGCACAACTTCTTTCCAGATCCCAACTACGGCTGGTAGGAAGCCTATGTTTCAAGCTTAGCCGACTTCATGGCAGATGCTAGGTCCCTACAGGGTAGAATGGTCAAGCGTACAAGCGATTAAATGATGTAAAAAATGTATAACGTTTGAAGCCAAGTGTGCAGACACTTTGGCTTGGCTCCATATGTGCCTACATTCAGGCATATGTTTGCCAGCCTAGTGTACAAGGTTTTCATATTGACGCTTTGTCCGGTCTGAGTTTACCGTGCAAATACACCACGTCTTGCCGACCGTCTCTTGGCAAGAGATCTGCCTGTGCACAACTCCGTCATCTTTCCTACTCATCGGTACACATTTCAAGTGAACAAGGCCAGTTTTATGTCCGTCTCTCGGCCAGTCGTCGCGCTCACTGTTCTCTGAATCCATCCGTTTTTCCGTAAAGCATATTCGCATGCTGGCTAAATTCGTCCACCGGCAAGAAGGGAATACTTTTACGACAGTCTCAGCTGTCCTGAGAGTTGGCTTTTAAGACTATGGTCACCAAGGTCTTCAGTCGAATCTCTATACAACTCTATTTACCCCCTCAACTAGATATTCTCTCCTACAATCTAATCATACATTCAAATGATCCACTTGGCTCAGATATGCTTTATATCTATGCAGAATCCTCTCGTAAATAAGGCGCCGATATGACGAACTTGTAATGCTAATTTTCCTAGCAAAGCTTACTGAGACTCCTCTTAAAAGGAATTACAAATAAGGGCAATATCCTTTAATATTCTCATCCATCGTCTCATTTTTCTATCATAAAAATCCTGCCTTTGCCAGAGAACTTAGAAAGCGCACCCCTTTCTTATTTTCCATGAACTCCAGTTGTGCTTTCAAGCTGCAAGCTCGGCTAAATTTAAGTTTTTC